CCTTTGCTACTGCTTCAAAATGCTTTCGAGTTTTTACTGGGCGTTTCCCAGACCAGGAATGCACGATGGCTGAGAGTTATACAAATTTAACTATTCCTTGTTTGCTGTTTCAGGAGCACTTTCACGTGATCACAATCAGCTTCCCTGACGATGAACAGGCTTTCTTGGAAACCTCACAGAGCCAGTCCCACAGGGAGATCAAGGAGGAGGATGAAAGGGATTGCAGATCCCCAAGTAAGGACCTGTCGTTACAATCCATTGCTTACCCCAAAGAGCCAGGCAGGGCTTTAATTTGGGGGTTCCTACTCGGGGGGGGGTGTCTAAAGTGACTGCACTTGGAATCCTTTGTCCAGTTCTGGTTGCCTCACCCTAAAAGGGATATTGTGGAGTTGGCGACAGTTCAGAAAAGGGCAACCAAAATGAGTCAAGGCAACAGAGCAAAGATCATGGGGAAAGATCGCAACAACTTGATAGCTCAGTCGGTACACTAGCTAATCTCAAGGTCATAGGTTTGAGCCCCACATTCGGGCAAATGACTAGATGATTTCTAGTTGGTCCCTTCAACTCTACAATTCTATGATTTTATGATTTGGGGCTTTTTACTTTAAGAGAAAAGACAAATAAGAGAAGACAAGATATACAGTGGTACCTCAGGTTACAGACATTTCAGGTTACAGGCGCTTCAGGTTACAGACTCTGCTAACCCAGAAATAGTAATTCAGGTTAAGAACTTTGCTTCAGGATGAGAACAGAAATCGTGCAGCGGTGGCGCTGCAGGCCCCATTAGCTAAAGTGGGGCTTCAGGTTAAGAACAGTTTCAGGTTAAGAACAGACCTCCGGAATGAATTAAGTTCTTAACCCGAGGTACCACTGTAGTTGCTCAGTCAAACCTCGGCTGTCGAACGTAATATGTTCCGGAAGCCCATTCGGCGTCCAAAATGTTCAACAACCAAGGCACAGCTTCCGATTGGTTGCAGTAGCTTCCTGCACTCAAAGAGAAGCTGCGTTGGACGTTTAGCTTCTGGAAAACATTCAAAAACTGGAACATTTACTTCCAGGTTTTTGATGTGCAGGAGCTGAAATGTTCCAAAACAGAGGCATTCAGGATCTGAGGTTTGACTGTATAAAATTACACATGGTGAGGAGAAAGTGGGTAGAGAAAAAGGGTTTTTTCTTCTCTCTCTCTCATAACACTACAGCTCGGGGACATCTAAGAAAGCTGAATGTTAGAATATTCAGGACAGACCAAAAAACATCATTCTCACAGAACATAATTAAACTATGGCGTTGGCTTCCAACACGAGGCAGTGACAGCCACCAACTTGGATGGATTTAAAAGATTAGACGAATTCATGGAGGAGAGGGCTACTAGCCAAGCTAGCTGCGTCCTACTGTTGGAGGCAACATGCCTCAGAATATCAGTTGCTTAGGATCACAAGTGGGGAGAGTGTGGCTGTTGCACAAAGATTGTGTGAGATACTCAGAGGCATCTTGTTGGCCACTGTAGGAACAGGATGTTGAACTAGGTGGCTACTGGCCTGATTCAGTGAGCTCTGATGTTCTTAAATACTGTTCTCTTTGACATCTTGTGGGAGGGCGTTCCACATGTTTGCTCCGACTTATTACTAAAGAGGGTTTTCTTGGTGGAAAGTAGTGGGGCATGCGCAAAACCACTCAGAGTTGTGGCTAGAAAGCATGGGAATAGTGGGAAACTGCTGAGACCTATGCTTTGCCGGCATGGGATAAGCCAAAGTATGGACAAGCCCTGAGTATGAGGCCTTATGTTCTTTTATGAGGTATTACGTCAACAGAAGACAGTATTATTCTCTTGCCCAAACCTTTCCTGTCACGTTTTTCTTCATTATATCGCCATAACCCATCTCTTCCTTTCTACTTTCCCCCACCTTGTTTATTATCTCTCTATTTCAGCAGGTGACGAACACATGAATGGGGTACATTTGGACGAAGCTGAGCTTCGAAAGCTGAAGAAAAGCTCAGGAGATCAACGTGGATCAAACAAGCGGAAAGAAAAAACAGCGCAGAGGCGAAGAGAGAACTCTGTACTTTGTCAAGCAGGTGGTATTGGAGGTCAACCGAGAATCCCCACAGGAGAGAGCAGGGACGTGCCCGCCGTGTGTGAGGAAAGCTCGAGTGATGCCACGGGCCACGATGCGTTCTTAGGAGACGAGCCTTATACCTGCTCCGCCTGCGGGAAAGCCTTCCGTCTCAAGTCAAGCCTCAAAAGACACTGGAGAAGCCACACAGGCGAGAAGCCGTATACCTGCTTAGATTGCGGGCGGAGCTTCAGCTGGAGGAGCAGCCTCACCACACATCAGAGAACCCACATGAGCGAAAAGCAGTACAAATGCTCCAAGTGCGGGAAGACCTTCCGCTGGAGCCAGAACCTCACCAGGCACTGGAGCATCCACACCGGGGAGAAGCCGTACAAGTGCTCCGACTGCGGGAGCAGCTTCAACCGGAGCCAGAACCTCATCACACATCGGAGAATCCACACGGGAGAGAAGCCGTACAAGTGCTTGGACTGCGGGAGCACCTTCAACCGGAGCCAGAGCCTGATCACGCACCAGAAGACGCACGCGGGAGAGAAGCTGTACATCTGCTCGGACTGCGGGAAGACCTTCAACCGGAGCCAGAGCCTCATTGCTCATCAGAGACTCCACACGGGGGAGAAACTCTACATGCTCCGGATGAAAGGAGAGCTCGCGGGGAAAATGCAGCCTCCTCAGACACGGGTGGATTCGCACACTGCGGACATGATATAGTAGGGTTGCCATATTCCAAAAAGCGAAAATCCAGACACAGATGTTGTTGAGCAAGATCTCCCCGCAAAAAAAGAGAATGGTTTAAAGCTATTTTTTTAGCAAACTTGCCAAAAAACAACACTGCTGATTCGAGCTGCCACGTGTCCAGATTTTTCTGGACATTTTAACCGATTTTTGAAAATTCTGCCCGGACGCCATTTTCAAAAGACAAATCCTGGGAAATTTCGTATGTATGACAGCCCAATGATATAGGCATGCTCACAGAGGAGGGAGAAAGATGGGTTTGAGATCCACCCCTTGTTTAGAAAGGTACAAGGACACAGTGGAAAATGAGTGCCAGAAATGTTCATTTAAGTCGGGGTTTCTGATGTGTCAGCCTGAGGGTGCTGGTATACCCACCGGGACCTCCTGTGGTGCCTGCAAAAGGTCTCTGTAAATATCCCCTCAAAAATCCACAATGCACAAAAGACTCTTTGCTCTTCCTACTCAGTTCCCATTTGTACTGACTCCACCTCTCCTGCAGTGAACACGCCCCCTTTCAATATGCCCAAGTTCCATTGGACGCCAGGACTGGATGCCCACCTTCCCTTCCATTCTGAACAGGGGAGAGGTGCAAAGAGCTGCTATTGGGCAGCTGATGTGGAGGCATGCTTCCATCATTTGGCGATCCTGTCTCTTCCTCCCAATGCTGTTAGATGTGGCATTTTTGTGTGTGTGTGTTATAGCAAAACCTCCTGCATGCGGCATTATCTCTAAAAGTCAAGGGCTCTTTGCAAACCTCTCCTTCTGTTGAGCGATCAAGGCCAGTGAAGGAGGACTTGCTAAGCTTGTGTAGCATAGTGGACACAGGTTCAAATTTTGGGATGGGGAGGCCCTCTTCGAGATGTCACATTGACAGCGAACGCTACTTAGCAGAGCCTGACCTCACACAAACACCACTCCCCAAATATGAGTGCAGTATGCTGGAAATAAAACTGTTGTATGTTAGTTAAAATAATAAATTTGATCATCCCTGAAAGTTGAACTGTATCCTCTGACAGAACATTGCTTCAAACTCCTAGGAAAGAGACTACTAGCCCATGCTGCTTCTATGGACTGTGTTTCTTCTTTTACCTAGCAAACTGCCTAAAACAAATCCTTAGTTTTGTTAATAAACGTGGTGAGGGGGGAAGGCAAGAAACGAAAAGGAGCCCCCCCCCCCAAAAAAAAACAGTGAGGAAGGCAAAGAAGAAAACACATGGAGAAAAGCCCCCTTAGCGCGTCATGAGTTTTGAGGGAAAGGCTTTAAAGCAACAGCAGGGGAAAGACGGAGAAGCCCAGTGGAGGCTGCCTTGCCCCGTGAGAAGCACAGCTTTGAGCAGGGCCACACACACACAGCACCCGAGCGAGGGCGGGACATGGACGGGCAGGGAGAGCAGCTGGCATTTTGTCACCCCTCTCAGTGATGACACCCGGGGCGGGCTGCACGGGTGGGAAAACAAACTGCCCACCCCCTGCTCTGGTCCCCATGATGGAGGCAGGGAGGCAGGGGCACATTCGCTCCACATTGCAGATTCTCATAGCGCTAGAATTTGTGGCCCTCCAAGAAGCTGAGTGTTGGGAGATCCAGGACAGATAAAAGCAGATAATAGAACTATGGAACTCACTGCCACTGGAGGCAGAGATGGCAACCAATGCAGGAATATTTTGCCCAACATGTCGCTCAAGCTGGTGACCCTTAGATTAAGAGTCCAGCACTATCCAGAGGACACCCCATTTGATGCCCCCGATATACAGTACAGAATCGAGCTTGTAAATAAGGAACGTCAACGCATCAACCCTAAACACAAAGTTTAACAGGGCAGAAGCCCCACTCAAGGCAATGGGGTTTATTTCTGACAAAGTGTAAAGAAGGTGAGGCTGTATTTGCAGAGGATATTTGAAGCCAGCGCCTTGTTCAATTTCTTTTACATTTTCTTCCCGTCTGAGGTCTCCAGAGCGAGCAGCTATCCTGCGTGACGTGGGGGAAGGGGTTCATTTTTAGTCCTCTATCAATCCAATGATGCATGCATTTTCACAGCTGCATAAGGTCTTGTGGGGAGAGGAAGGTTTCCTAGAATTGCAGAGTTGTGAGGGACTCTGGTCCCACCCCCTGCAGTGCAGGAAACGTTTGGCCAATGTGGGGTTCAAACTCACAACCCTCATGCTCTGCCAAATCAGACATCTCAAACGGAAAACAAGATTGAAGGTGAGAAAATTTATTAGGACTCCTAAAAGTGTGACTGTCTCTCTCTTCTGGGAAAAGGAAAGAAAATGCAAAGCAAGAGCAACCCATTTTTGTTTGGTTATTTCTGTTGATTTTGACGGAATGAATCCTCTCAAAGGGCCCTTGGAAAACTGCCCAACCTGCTCTTGGCGGGTAAATGGTTTTTACGTCAGTCACTCTGGTCTGGAGAGAAACTCCTGCTGGGCCTGAGAGGCAGATTTAGTCTCCTCAGGAGATACTGAGGTGGGTTTTATTTTCCCACAGATCAAAGTAAGGGAGAAGGGTCTCTCCAGAGAACGAGGCTCCTGAGAACGTGTAGAGTTCGGCTCCTGAGTCAGCGTCAGAAAAAGACACACGTCCCCCTTCATAGTCCAGAGTCACCCGGATCCTCCTGGGCTTCTTCCTCAGGGACAGAGGAGAGTAAAAAGGGGAGGTGCAGGCCCAGTATTCCCCTCCCCACTTCTCCACAGCCCAGATCCCCCACTCAGGCCTTAAGGGGAAGATGCCCTTTCTCTCCACAGACATCCTGGCGACCCCCAAAGCCCACTCTTCCCGACTTCCCACAGTGATTTCCCAGAAATGTCTGCCTGCTGTGAATCCCTCACGTCCCAACACACAAATCTTGTGGCTAAATCTCTCAGGATTATCAGGCAGGGCTTGAGGTTTGTGTCCCCTTCTCACACTTTTCCGTTCCTCAGACAGGATGAGTTCAGGATGGGCTGTGTCTGGATCCAGAGTAACATTTGCTGTTGGGGAGAAGTTGAGGGAAAGAGAAGAATATGCAGAGTCAGCTGAGAGACAGAAATGGACGTTCTGATAAATAAGTAAAAAACACCCCAAAAACCCAGATTCCCTCTCATATCAAGGGGATTTCTTTGCATTGCATGCAAGACTGAGACTCCTTGGAGACTTCCATCAGAATAAATATCTTCCTTGTTGGTTTTTAAATCAGTTTCCTTCACTTGAGTGCTGCATGTGTTGCCCTCAAACTTACAAAGCCTCAGCCAAGGTTAGACAAATTATCAACACGCATACAACATCAAAAATCACATTAATTGTTCAAAAGTATGCCAAATACAAACTTTTACCTTTCAATAAAAAGTTGTTTGTATCACTGAAAGCTGTTATGTGTTTTTATTTTAATACCAAAGGTGTTAATATAGGAGTTGTTTTTTTCTAAACTAAAACCTCAGTATTCACGTTAAATTGCCGTGTTGGCACTTAGCGATAAATAAGTGGGTTTTCAGTTGCAGTTTGGGCACTCAGTCTCTAAAGGTTTGCCACCACTGGTCTATAGGCAGGAATGGAACTCAGACTGGTGTGCAGGTTCTTCGCAGGGACAAGCTCTGTCCCCAGTCCAAGCCTTCAAACCCTCTCCCAGTTCATTCATGGGACATGGAAAGAACCCAAACAGCACTAGAGGACTGTTTCCCTGAGTGACGCCATTGATGGGGGTCCCAAAGTCTGCAGAGCAGATGGTTCAACACCCATGAAATATCAGTCCCCATCCCTCCTGTGAAATTGTTCCTCTCCTGGAAATTTACCTTTCTGAATCTGTTCAGTGAATAGCAGAGCATCTGAGGAAGCAGAAAGATATAAAGTGTAAGGGCAACACTCTTCAATCAAAAATAAATCTCCATACAAAAGTAACACTTCATAATGTGGCATCCTTAAATTCAAGTACAATTATTAAATATTAATTAAATTGTACAAAAAAAATTAAAACTAGAAAATCATAGGAAGAATCTATGAAAATAACTAAAGCTTTAAATAGCAGAATAAGAATATTCAGCACAAATCCTAATGGTCTCTGAATTTTGTGCCTGAAATTGGGCTCTACATTGGAGGGCTGGAGGGGAGGCAGAGTAATAGGAATCCCAGAAAATGAGGCAGAGGGGAGATGGAGGCAGCCTTAACATCTTCCCCAAGTAAAGTGGTGGGGGGAATCATTAAAGCCAAAATTGTGAAACATAAGGAGAAGCAAAGTTTGATGAGGAAGGATTGGCAGAGCTCTCAGGCAAAAGGAAGCCCTTCCTCACAAACCTTCTACAAATCTTTAAGGTTCTTCACAAGCATAATTGTGCCCTTTGGGGCTCATGTGCTCTTGCTTCCACTCTCAATGGGGGAACTCTCAGGAGATTTTGACACACGAAGTGTTGGGTGTAGTGAAGGGTTAACCTTCTATGTCTCGTGCTTGAGGGGACGAGCTTACAAGGGAAGTAAGCCAGGATGTGACGTAAACAGCTTGGTATGCTGTGAACTGAGTGGAAATCGAAAGCATTCAGTTCAGCCGCTGCAGGGAGAGAGAGAGGAGGCAGAGAAGATGCAGCTACAGACTGATGGCAAGGGAAGCGTGCCTAGGCGCCAAACAATAAAGCAATGAAACTATCGAAGAGGTTATGGGTCAACGCCAAGAGTGTGAGAAAGGGCTTGGAAGACTTTAAAAGGCTGAACGTCGGCTTGATCAACTGCCAAAGAAAGCAGAGGGCAGATCGGAGGAGGCTGACGGAGAGAGGGAGCTGCGATGCCAGGACCTTCCGGAACGCTCAGTTGGCAGAAATGAGTGAGTACTCAAGCCCCAGAAGGGAGAAGGGAGGCATGGCTCAGCCCCAGGGACATGGCTTTGAGTTTAAAATGCCATGTCAGAGACTGAATAGCCAAAATTGGCTACAATGGAGTTTTGAAATGGAACTCTTGCTGGTGGGAGAGCAGCTATGGAACTTAGTCCAGCCCCCACAGCATGCAGCTGGGAATGCAAAGACAGAGAAGGCTGCAGTGCAAAGTGAAATGGAGAAGCGTGTGCTTGCTTTTTTGGCTGAGAATGTGGATGCTCATCTAGTGCCAGTTGTCCTGGGTGCAAGAAAGCCAGAGGCCGCTTGGCAAGCACTCCAAAAGGCTTGTGAAGCTGGGGTGGGAAGCAAGGGCCGAGACGTGGCTGCCCCAAAGAGAGAGAGCCAAGATGGCGCTGCCACATTCTTGAGAGCCAAAACAAAGCTGAGAGGAGCTTTGAGCCCCCACAGGGAGGTGAAGGGACTGTTGCTGGCAATGCTGCTGGTGCTTCTGCTGAGCATGGGAGCTGTTTGGATGCTGCAACATGTCTGTGTGAGAAGCCTGGGGAGAGGCAAAGTGTTGGGAGCCCCATACCCGTCAGAGGGGGTGCAGGCAAACGTCCTGGAGACCCCGTGAGTAGTGGGGGAGCAGTGAGCAGTGAAAACTCAGAGACGCCTCTTTCTCCAAAAGCTGCCAAGTGTTGTTTACATCGTGAGCTGAAGCCAAGCCGTGCGAAGCTGAATGCAGCTAGAGGCTTCAAGGCCGGCCACCTGGAGCAAACAAAGATAAGAGCTTCGGATTTGTGTGGGAACATCGAGACAAGTCCAGTCTCCAAGGCAACTGAGAGAGTTGCATCTACGGAAGCTGTGAAGGTCGTGGGCAAGTCTTCCTGCGGGGGGGGGGGAGTCTGTTGCCGTGACAACCAGAGAGGACATTTGCAGAGGCCCCAGAGAGGGGGGTAACGAGGGATTGCCATGGTGATCCAGGAATGTCAACAGACAGACTTTCTTACTGTCATCATCGACTCAGGAGCGACAAACACGCTGGTCTTTTAAGGAATTGCAGGACAGTAAAAACTAATAAATTTGTGACGCTCGCAGATGGAAGTAGAAAAAGACTAACACAGACAGGCTTTCTCTTCTGTTCCTTTCTTAAGCATGAAGTCAAAGCTTATGTGGCGCCAGGCTTAACCAACTGTTTGTTAAGTGTGCATAATTTACTTGCTGATGGTTTTCATGTGTCTTTTGCAGGTACCCAATGTAAGTTTTCCAAGGATGGGAAACACGTGTACACAGTGCAGTCTAAAGGCAATTTGTTTCTTGTAAATGTGCCTTTTTCTACGGAAGAAGAAGACACCGAAGATGCAAAGGGGAAATGTGTGAATGTGGCGCCCCATGATGGTTGTCCGCATATTTGGCACAGGCGCTTCGCACATCTGAATTGGGGGTTTCTCAAGAAGGCACCTGAACTGACACAAGGGTGCAAATTTAAGGCTTGTGACAAATTTTTAGATTGTAATGCTTGTAAACAGGCGAAGGTTGTGACATGCTCCTATCCAACGTCAGAGAGACAGACCACACAACCCTTTGAGTTAATTCATGCAGATTTGTGTGGACCCATGTCAGTTGAGTCACTGGTGGGATCAAAGTACTCTCTGCTTCTGGTTGATGATTTCTTGAGGTCTGCTTGGACCTTTGCTCTGAAAAATAAAGGGGAGGCGGCTAAAATGATCAGGGATTGGATCACCGCACTTGAGGTAACCTTTTCCACCAAAGTGTGTGGCTTTCAAAGTGACAGAGGTGCTGGTTCTGCTTTACAGGATTTCTTTAGGGAGAAGGGGATTAGCCACCGATTGACCGCTCCTTACTCTCCGCAACAGAATGGGCTGGCAGAGAGAAAGAACAGGACGGTGCAGGAAGCGGTATCTTCGGTCTTGTGGGATACAGGGCTACCCCAGAAATATTGGTCAGAAGCCTGGCAGTATGTGGTGCATACGCAAAACAGAGTGTACAACTCTAGTGTAGGAAATACACCTTATTTCTTGCTGCATGGAAAGAAGCCTAAGGTACACTACCTTCGTGTGTTTGGTTGTGAGGCCTGGGTGCTTATTCCAAAGGCTCTACGCAGGTAAGGTGAGCCAAGATCAAAAAGAATGATCTTTGTAGGGTATAAGCCTGGCTCAAAGGCCTGGTGGTTTGCGTACCCAAGTGGAAACCAGTCTAGGTTGGTTATCAGCAATAGCGCTGAGTTCTTTGAACAAGATGGTTGGAAACGTCTGCACGCTAATCAAGACGTGATTCCACAGCCGTTCTATGACTCAGACGTTGAGGAGGAAGAGGAACTTGTTGGGGACCATGGTCTAGAGCAACAAGGTCCACCACAGGGACAGAGTCCAAGGCAGGGACAGCTCAGGATCCCTCGGGGGGGGGGAACCTAGAACACCTCCTCAGGCAAGTGTCAAATCTGAGCCAAAGAGTAAGCCTTTCTCTTCTGCTGGACCAGCTGTAAGGCCCAAGAGACGCAGCAGGTCAGAGGGGGAAGACACTGAAGTTGAGGATGATTTAGCTGAACCCAGTGAGGCAGCAGTGACACCAGGGTTCACACTGAGGAGATCGGCGAGGACAAGGAGGCCTCTTGATCGATATGACGCTTCAGGTGTCTGGGTAGGTTCAGCCAGGTGTGAACCTGAATCCTTCGAGGATATTCAGAGTTTACCTGAGGAAGAAGCAGGTAAGCGGCACATGGCAATGGACAAAGAGATGAAGTCCATGAAAGATCTAGGTGTGTTCTCACTCAAAGAGTTGCCACCGGGAAAGCAGGCTGTGAGTCGCAGGTGGGTTTACTGCCTGAAACCCACTGACGCTGGAGAACCACAGTATAAAGCTAGGTTAGTTGCTCGAGGATTCACTCAGAGAAAGGGAATACACTTCACGGAGGTATATTCGCCAACATCACGAGCAGAGACTCTGAGAACGCTTTTAGCTTGTGCAGCACAGAGAGGCTGGAAGGTAAACCACTTTGATGTGGATGTTGCCTACCTAAACTCAGATCTCCAGGAGGAGCTGTACATGATTCCTCCTCCAGGGTTTGAGAACCTGAGACAGGGCATTGTGTGGAGATTGCACAAATCCATCTATGGATTACATCAATCTGCTAGAAACTGGAACATGTGCCTGAATGAAGCCTTAGAAGAGCTAGGCTTTGGAAGAAGTGTTGCTGATAGTAGCCTTTATTTGAGAGGACCAGGTGCAACACAAGAATTTCTTCAACTTTGGGTTGATGACGTGCCGTTTTTCTCAGAGACAGATGGA